AAATATAAAGGGGAAAATGACAAATAAATACATCAATTTGTTAATTTCTTACTCATAAATACATGAACTTGTAATCTCCCAACAAAATACATCAATTCGCAATTTTCTGGCAAATTAGTACACAGACACTAACACCGTTAACTTTGTAATAGTTTCCGGTGAACAGTGCTGACGTGGCTCGCCGGATTTTCCACGTCAGCGTCACATGTCAAACATTTTTCCACGTCATTAAAAAATTAAAATTAAAATTAAATTCATTTAAAATAAAAATAATTTTAAAAAAATTAAAAATCAAAATTTATAAAAATTACAAAATTAAAAATTTTGAAAAAATAAAATTTTAAATTAAATTAAAAAAATTCAAAATTAAAATTTAAAAAGAAATATTAAAAAAATAATACTTTAAATTTCAAAACTAAAATATATACACACATATATACATAAATTTACATAAATATATATAAACATATATACACACATAAATATGTATATATATATATATATACATTTTTGTAAATTTATATATATATATATATATACATATTTTAGTTTGTAAACATATATACACACATAAAATATATATACATATACATAAAATATATATTTTTGTAAACATATATACACACAAAATATATATACATATACATAAAATATATATACATATATGCATATAAATTTACAAAAAATATATATATATATATATTTTATGTGTGTATATATATTTACAAAAATATATATTTTATGTGTGTATATATGTTTACAAACTAAAATATGTATATATATATATATATATATAAATTTACAAATATATATATATATATTTATTTATGTGTGTATTTATGTTTATATATATTTGTTTAAATTTATGTATATCTGTGTGTATACATTTTAGTTTTGAAATTTAAAGTTTTATTTTTTTTAATATTTCTTTAAAATTTTAATTACGAATTGATGTATTTTGTTGGGAGATTACAAGTTCATATATTTATGAGTAAGAAATTAACAAATTGATATATTTATTTGCCATTTTCCCAAATATAAAGTCAATGGAGGTGAACTCTTCTAATTTAGAACCAATGAATACTGATAGTCATGTAAGATCGAGAAAGATACATATAATAGTTTTGTATTTTCATTTGTTAATTTTATCCTTCATATTTTTATTATAGTTTAACTCCCTAATTTTTTTTCTACAAAAACAAAAGAATAAAACTACATGTCGCTAAATTTGATTGAATTTGGTGGTATATGAGTTCATGACCATCCTCACCGCATGCTAGAATCGGAGGCCGCCCTCGCAGCAACGGCCATAATCATCCAATATAATATATTATCTTAACAATTTACTTTTTCCAATAACTTTGGATTTTTAATTAGATCTCACTATTGTTTTAATTTCCCCAATTTTCCATCTATTTTTTTTAACTACTGCTATCCTTTCATAAATTAGTATGTACGAAAGCAATTTAATATAATTTAACGCCATCTACTAAGTGTTAAAACAAAAGTGATGTCTATAATCTTTAACATCAATAAGAAAGTTATTTGATAGCAAATTATCATAACTCATAAATAGTTTTCAAAACCAGTTTTATTATGGTGGTATTTAAGAACTGTTTAAAAGTTCAGAGTTTAGTTTTATGAATGTTTTTGGAACTCATTTAAGATTTCATAATTTATATTTATTATTAAGGTTTCATATAGGAGTTAAGAAATACTCCCTCTATTTCTTAATAGTTGACTTTATAGATGCAAAACAATTTCCAAAATAATTATCATTTTAAAATTTACATAATATATAATAATTTTGTATAAATTTATCAATAATTATTTATAACAAATAGACTAATAACCGCGCATAGCACGCGTCTGTCCTAGTTCATAAAAATAATTACCGACTTTCTTGTCCATTTCTATATGAATCCTAAATAATTAATGTTTGCATTCGAATGTCTCATGAGTAGAAGACCAAATATTTTTCCTGATTTATGGTTTCTAATAGACTAGGGGCCGTGGTAATTTTAGTTTCCCATATACACAATTCCAAAATTAAATGAATATAAACTTTTCAATTAGATTAACTGAGTCTAAATTGAGTTTAAAAATATTTGAAGAAAAAATAGAATGAAAATAAAAATAGATTTAGAAAGTAAATGTTTTTATAATCTAAATCAAATTTAAAAATAAAAAACTCAAATTAAAAAATAATCCAATCAAAATTCCAAATGTGGTGGACGACTATAATGGACAAAGTAAACTGTATTTTCTTTTAACGACCAATAATGGGAGAAGAAAAAGACGAGAATGGGAAAATGAATTTTAACCAATAGAAAACTTAACTATTTGTAGGGAGAAGACTTTAGAGGCTCCACTTTATATAGAAGTCGTCGACGCAATGATTACACTATTAAGTAACTTTTTCAAACAAATTTTTGCATTAAAAAATCTAAAATTTTCCATAATTTCTAGATAAATCTTTAATTTATCTTTATGTTTTCTACGAAGAGATGAGACAATATGACAAAATTTTAATATATATATATATATATATATTATCTAAGATAACTTTATGTTTTGAAAAGTAAATTTTAAATTTTATATTTGCTCTTTTAACTAATTCGTAATTTTACATGGGATTTTTCTAAAACTATTTAAACCGTTTAAATTTAGTTTCGGATTATATATATATATATCAGGATTAAATGATGATATATCATTAAACCAATCAAATCGATATATGAAATTTATAAGGGATTTAACTTCCCTTTGATTATATTCTATTATGAAAAATATCTACTTCCATATTTATGTTGACTTGGATTTTTCAAGACATTTACATCAAAATATATCTTTATTTTAAATCATGAAATTTTAATTTGTTTTATTAAACCATAAAATTACATTTTAATGATACACTAGATTATAGTAATTTTCAACACTTACTCTAATACTTGTTCTAGTTGTATCATTCTTTGTAGATATTACGATTTTAAAATATAGGTTGGCACTTGGTATTTGACATTTGTTAAATTTTATTAAAGTTATGATAGATTTGTTATATTTTATTTTCTATATAAATAAAAAAAATCCATCACAATCTGTTGGACTTTTTTTAATCATTCTCTTTAATGACATCTAAATATTAATCATATTCCCCCTTTCAATAAAAAAATATATCATCATTTTCTAAAATATTGGATAATTTTTTCTTATTTTTTATAAATCTTTAGAATTTTTTAATAGGGAAAATGGCAAATAAATACATCAATTTGTTAATTTCTTACTCATAAATACATGAACTTGTAAACTCCCAACAAAATACATCAATTCGCAATTTTCTGGCAAATTAGTACACAGACACTAACACCGTTAACTTTGTAACAGTTTCCGGTGAACGGTGCTGACGTGGCTCACCGGATTTTCCACGTCAGCGCCACATGTCAAACATTTTTCCACGTCATTAAAAAATTAAAATTAAAATTAAATTCATTTAAAATAAAAATAATTTTAAAAAATAAATTTAAAATTTAAAATTTATATAAATTACAAAATTACAAATTTGAAAAAATAAATTTTAAATTAAATTCAAAAAATTCAAAATTAAAATTTTAAAGAAATATTAAAAAAAATAAAACTTTAAATTTCAAAACTAAAATGTATACACACAGATATACATAAATTTAAACAAATATATATAAACATAAATACACACATAAATAAATATATATATATATATTTGTAAATTTATATATATATATATATATATACATATTTTAGTTTGTAAACATATATACACACATAAAATATATATTTTTGTAAATATATATACACACATAAAATATATATATATATATATTTTTTGTAAATTTATATGCATATATGTATATTAATGATGTGGAAAAATATTTGACATGTGGCGCTGACGTGGAAAATCCGGCGAGCCACGTCAGCACCGTTCACCGGAAACTGTTACAAAGTTAATGGTGTTAGTGTCTGTGTACTAATTTGCCAGAAAATTGCGAATTGATGTATTTTGTTGGGAGTTTATAAGTTCATGTATTTATAAATAAGAAATTAACAAATTGATGTATTTATTTGTCATTTTCCCTTTTTTAATATGGTTAAATTAAATTATTAACTCTTTCATTTTTATGTTGTTTTAATTTGAAGGATAGGTTTATTTTAGAGTAAAATTATTTATATTATTTTTATCGGAATAGATTTCAAAACTTATAAAATTTTAACTTTAATTTTAAAATATTTTCATTAAAATCTAAATATTTACAAATTAAATCTTATAAAATCACGAAAAAATTTGAGACAACATTTTAAAAGGTGTCCCATTAACATTCATAAACTTACAAAATAGTAGAAAACTAATTTGTAAACTTTTACTATGACAAGTAAATTTTTTAACTTATGCCATTATAAATCCCGGACTTGCCAAATCGATTAAATTTGAAGCTTAAGATAATCTTATAATATTGAGCATGGAAAATCTGAAATGAAATAAATTGGTCAAAGTGGTCGGTGGCAAAGTCACTAAGTGAACATACCCAATTTTGTTCTGTCCCACAATACGGAAATTTCGGTGAAACCCCAAATCTTGACTCATAACCACTAAAAATAAAATCATTGAGAAATAATATATAAATATTTCAACTGTTTAAAAAATCCTACATAAATACTATAACTAAAAAATTTTCATATAAATACCTGAACTTTTAAAAATTCTATATAAATATTTAGATTTTTAAATTTTTTTCTAAATAAATACAAATTTCAAATTTTTTTATATAAAAATAGATGATATCATTAACGAATTTTGTGTTTATTTGAAAGTTTTTCAGAAGTTTAGATATGTATATAGAATTTTAAAAAAATTTGTATGAAAATTTTATAATTGTGAGATTTATATAAAAATTTAGTTATTTATATGCCGTTTTATCTTTATCAAAACATTTACTCACACTTAAAAGAAAAGGACCAAAACGAAGAAGACCGTACTGCCCAATCATCTTATAAAATCCGATACCCAACCATTACAAGTTACAGCCATCAACCAGTTTTTTTTTTTTTTTTTTTTATAAAAACAACCAAATAAAAAATGAAAAGAATCTCGACCTGGAACGCGCGAACGATACTGGTGGTGGCGGCGGTGATATGGGCGGCGGCGGCGGCGAAGAGAGGAGGGGCGGAGCTGAGCGCGGCGGAGTGCAGGGAGGAGAGGAGGGTGGGGATCAACGCGTGCAAGTCCGTACTGTACGGGAGGATGCCGTCGCCTGCATGCTGCGAGCGAGTGAGAGACAGCCACGTGGAGTGCGTCTGTCCAGTCATCACTCCCAAGCTGGCGGCCCTCGTCGACATCCCTCGAGCCATCCGCCTCATCGAAGGCTGCGGCCGCAAGGTCCCTCGCCACTTTACATGCGGCAGTAAGCACTTCACATATAATATATATATATAAAGTTTTTAATCTATAATTACAGACAGATATGGGTAAATTTCGATTTCTAATTATTCTTTTTTTGGTATGGTTTCTAATTTTTCTTGCATCCACCTTCGCTTCAGTTAATTAACAAATCCAAAGATCCATAATCGTTTTTTTATACTGATTTTATATATTTCGAATAATCACTGTAACAAATTCAAAGATCCATAATTGTGTTTTTTTTTTAATTTTCTAAATCGATTCTTGCAGGTATCACAACTCCGTGAGAGTCCCTAAAAAAGAAAATAATTAAATAAATTAGTAAGCTTTTGTTTGGTGCTATTTGCTATTTAATCTCGTTTTGTGCCGTTTGCGATGTCTAAAAGAGTTTATGGGAATATATGTTCCTGAAACCGGTCGAGATTCTTCATCTCCTCGGGGTGACGTTTCGTTCTTTTTTTTTCTCCTTAATTTTATCTCAGGACCAGTAAAATTAAATTCTCGACTTATCGCCTCAAACTCTTGAAATTGCAAAAGAAACCTTTAGAAATCCAAATCATGCTCAATTAATTAGTGTTGTAAACAGAAAATGAAAAACCATGCCGAACCGATAGATGTATAAGTTACGAACAAGAAAATATTAGGAGCGGTCACGGGTCGAATATCTAGTTTGATATTCCAAATCATCAAGTAACTCATTTTAATACCCGAATTCGTATCTAATGTAACTTAATTGATAAAATGGTTGGGTATCTGCGAATACCAGATCTAAAATATATTTATATAAGAAATTATATTTTTGGATAGAAATTAATAATTTGTTCAAAATATATCCAGAATTTAAAAATCTAAACACAATCTTGATATATATATATATATAAAAGTATTGAAAAAAAAACACAATTTAAATCAAGAACACAAAATGTATATGATTATTTATAATTAATTAATTAATTAATTAATTCTCAGAGCATACTGTCAGCACGAGAGGGTAACCTGCGGAAGAAGTTAGTGGGAGCAGAGGGCATCTTGCTTCTGAACTTAGGATGCCTCAACCAGAAAAATCCGGCAGCCATCGCCACTATCTTGAAGGGCGTTACGTACAACGCCACCGCCGCCACCAGACAGAACAGCACGAACAAGCACGTCCCCCTCGGATCTCTCCAGCTCAGCAGCGCCTGAAGCCTCTCCCCCTGCGTTGCAATGTCTCCGACCACCATCTGGATCCTACCCGCCACGCTTCTCAACCTGTCGTACCTCATCTTCACCACGTCCTGCCCCTTCGACGTCGGGAAAGTGTCGAACTCCTCGTCCAGCTCATCCGCAGTCGCAGCTTCCGCCCACGACAGCTTCGTATCCATGTGGGAAGGGTGTCTTGCCCTAAACCGAAAGCTCCAGACCCCGATCAAGAACATGTACAGGAACAACGTCGGCAGGATCAGTTCCGGGTAACAGATCAGAATGAACAAGAGGACGTGGAACAAGATCGACGTCACCGGGTTTTTCCAGTAGCACACATCTCCCAGCCACTTGCTCATGGCGATGAGCCCTGAGAAGACGGACACCACCCTGAAGAAATTGGCTTTGCTCCTTCTCATGCTCCACATGTGCGAATCCACGTCTAGCATGTATTCCACCACTTCCTTCCTCAGCGGCGGCTCCGCTCATAGACTAGGGGCCGTGGTAATTTTAGTTTCCCATATACACAATTCCAAAATTGAACCGTACGGCCAGTTGGAGCTCTCCCATTTTCTTCAACCCTTTAGATTGCAGAACAAGGAGCGGGTACGAATGAGTGTAGATTCTGTCGGCCTCGAGTGTCGAAAGCCGGATTCTCACTTTCCCGATTCTCGAATCGACCTTTGCTCCCCCCGAGTTCGCCTTTTCGCTCCCTCCTAGATGGCAGTTGTCGAAAACTCCGAGTGTAATGACGGTACAAGGGTCGTATACTTCCCACGTGTACTGCTCGTTCCACTTCGGGTTGAAACTCTCGATGATGGTTCTTGTCCTAACCCATTTCTGCCCGTATTTCGCCACGCAATACGGATCGGTCGTTGCCTTACCGTCTTTCGTTTTCATCGGGGAAAGCCCTTGCGCGCTCAAGATTCCTACCTCTAGAATTCCGATCGGTTGCTTCCACAGCTGTCGAGCTGTAGGTCGAACATCGCTGATATAAAGAGTCGATTCGTCCATTACGTGGTATCCGCCCTCGAGGCAGACCCGTAAGTGAATCCTGCTCGAGAATTTCAGTTCATGTCTCTTGTCTCCTTCCAATGCCCCGAACCCGAATTTCTCGAGGTTGAACCATTTGGAATGAACCGGTCTGTGATCTAATCTTTTCTCGAAAACGGTCAGAGGCAAGATCAGTCTGCCCATCACTTCATCTTTCGCCGACGAAACCTTGTTTTCGACTGTCAAGTAGAACTGTTCTTCGAACGGCTCCGCAGCCACGAAGACGAGATCTTCGTTCCACATCGGATTCGTTGTCTTGTTCGGACACAACTTGGTTTTCAGTATCTGGTTCCCGATCTGAACCTTCACAAAAGCTTGAGGCAACTGTGTTCGATCGCTCGGTTCGGCATCTTGAGCTTCGATCACGTTAACCCGTAAATACCATAGTTTCGGAGATACATATACCTTCGATCTCACGCTATGAACGCCTTCTCCTTGCACGGAAGAAGCATCCGAATGCCAAGCGTCGGGAAACGCTTCATCGGCTTGTGTCCCCATCCAGACAGCTAACATAATCTCTCCTTTCTTCTTGCTCTCGCCTCTGCGATCTTCCAATCTGTACCATTGAGGGGCAAGCGGGCTATCGGGAGGAACCCTAGTAGGAACCTCGTTCATGTCGAACACGACTTTTCCGATGTAATCATCCCTCGTCACCATCTCCTTGTCCCGAACGAAAACTTCGACGACGGACGACTGGATCTTGTCCTTGGAGAAGGCGAAGACTTGGTTCCATTCGGGGTTCGTCCTTTTCTCGAAATGTTTCGTCTTCCCTTTGTAGTTTCCGAGCTTTACGTCCACGTAAGGGTCGCAGTTTCCGGTCACAGGGTTCGGAGGGAGGTCTTTGGCTTTGACGACACGGACGTAGAGATAGAACATCTGCTCGACGAGGTCGTAAGTACTGGCGGCTCGTTCGCTGCTGATCCATCCGCTTCCACCTCGTAATCCTCCGTGCGGCCATCTCTCTCCGAGCTCTGGTTTCATGTCTTTAAGCTTGTAATCTTCTTGGCTCTTACCTCCATCTTTCTGGCTCATGGTTTGTTTTTCAAGTTCTTGGGATTCTCCCTCTGTGTATGATCCTGAATGCTCTGAGACTTGAATTCAGGTTCTTGAAATAAGAAATATGCAATGATTGTATAACTGTCAATTACAATGATATATATATATATATATGTGTGTGTGTGTGTGTATAGATATTGAAGAAAGAGACAAAACTTCAGGGAAGAACAGAGGATGTAAAAGTTGCAGAGGGGAGAAACCGGAAACAGAGTTAGCTGAAAAAACTGCAGAACAAGAACACGTTTCTTGGGCGACACGATACTGACACAGATCCTTATCCAAATGAAAAATATGAAATTTTGTAAAATATTTAAAATTTTAGAAACTTTTTCCTGTAAATTAAAGAAGTGAAAACCCAGATTTAGTTGCAACTGAAGAGTTCCATCAGACTTGCAGTATGGAAAACGTGAAGGACTGTCTACGAACCTGCAGTATATAACATATATTGCAAAAAAAAAAAAAATGTATTCATATGTCCACGAACATGAATTTCAGAAGAAAAAAAAAATAGATCGAACCATGCATATGTACTAGGGGTGGGCACGGGTCGGATACCCGGGAAAATCGAGAGATTTGGATTCGGATCCGGGAGACTCGGGTATTTAACTATAAGATTTGTATCCGGGATTTGGTATTTACGAGTATCCGGGGTACGGGTATCCGAAATAATAGTCGGGTACTCGCGGATATCCGGATCCGGATTTATTTAAGAAAAACAACAATATTCATATATAAAATTTTTAAAACATGAAGATATATTTATAAAAATTGATGAATTATGATAAAATATATAAAACAAAAGAGATAATAAGAGACAAATAATAATAAATTTAATTTTTTTGAATTAATATTAAAAAAATATGAAATTATTTCATCTAAAATAATTGTATTTTATAAAAATGTTATATAAATATAAGATATAATTATTTATAATTATAATACGCGGGTACCCGCGGGTATCCGGTTTTAAAAATTCTATTATCCGGATTTGGATCCGGATTCACGGGTATTAAAAAATCAGGATTTGGATTCGGATTTGAAAATTACGAGTACCCTAAAATCGGGTATCCGTGAGACGAGTATCCGACGGATACCCGATTTTCGGGTATTTGTGCCCAGCCCTAATATGTACAAATACAAGATAAAGGTAATCAAAGATATATGTATATGTATATGTATATGTATATATACAAAAAAAAGTTCATATATAATTGCGGTGGTACCGGGAGGAAGATATTGCAGAAGTTGATATACGATCCTCTTTGAAGCTCCTAACAGAGGAACAGGAACAAGGAAATGGTTTTTCACAGAAGGAAGAATCCTGGGTGTGGTGAAGATCAAATGGGCAGTTCACAGAAGAATAAAGCTACAATGAGAATATATAAAGAAAGCGAAAGAATTCTCGACGAAGAAAGGGCCGAAAGGGAAAAGATCTCTCTCTCCCTCTCCCTCTCTCTCTCTCTCTCTCTCTCTCTCTCTCTGTCTCTCTCTCCCTCTCTCTCTCTCCCTCTCTCTCTCTCTCCATTATTGTACAATAATGAAACCATTAGAAAGACTTGTAAAGGAGAGTGAAAAGGGGGGGAGAGAGAAACCGTGGAATTCAAGGAATTGGAGAAAAAGGGAATAATCAAGACTGTGGTTCAAACAAAATTTAGTGTAGTTGTAATTTAGGGTTTCTGACAAGTTCATCATGTTTTTTTTTTTGTGAAATTATGTTTTTTTTATAATTATCGTAGTTTTCTTATAAAATAAACGTAGTTTTGAGATTTATAATATTTTATTTATAAATATTTTATAATATTTTTTCTCATTAGCAATTATAAAATAAATATAAAAGTGACAAATTATTTATAATATTTTATTTAATATAGTTTTGACATTTCTCTGCACCGAATATTATTTAATTTTATAGTATTTTTTTATTATACAGTACAAAGAGTTAATTTGTGTTTATATATAGCCTCACAACCCACAAGTCATTTCAGTGCTTATAAAATAAAAAAATAATATTACCTCTAAAAAACTGTAGGGATGTTCAATGTATGTATATGCACTTATTTTATATTTGTAGAAAAAAAAGAAATGGATAATAATATGAAGTCTGCTTAGTTGTGGAGCAAAAGCTGGGATGGGAAGAAAAAGAAGTGGTCATTATCTGTGTTTTTTAATGGGAAAACAATAAAAACGATTAATTTTATTATTTTATATTTTTAGATTTGATTTTGCTTTTTTTATCAGATTTTTATTAAAAAATATGTTATTTTTTTCGACTGTTTTTTATTTAATTTGATTATTTATATTCAATTATTTTAAAATTTTAAAATGTAACTAATGGATATCTAAATATTGATTTGTATGTTATTTAATTCGATTTTATATTTTTCGTTCAAAATAATAATTTTTTAGAGGTATGATTATCAAATAGAAAGAATTTTAAAAAATTAAATATTATTTCAGTAAAATTGAATCGAAAAACAAAATGAAATGAAATTTTAATAAAAAATAAAAAATAAAAATACCCTCATATAATATAGAACATGAATAGTCCCCGCGGGAATATTTCTTTAGCGTTAGTGTTATTGGAATAAGCATCTAACCAACAAATCTTCTCGCTTTTACATTATTGTCAATGCAGAAGAATCTGATCGCTATTTTTTTTATTTAAAGCATAAGGAAAGGCAAATGAATTATTATTATTATTATTATTTGGATTGATGGTCCATTTGTAATCATTTAACCAATTATAAAAATGGAATTCAACGCAATTTGTTGGTTTTGTTTCTCATTCCAATAAAAAATAGTACTCAAAACAAGAATCATTGTCAAAAATCAATTGTAATACAACTGTAACTCAGTTCAAATATAAAGAACCAACTAAATTGGAGATGAGTCCAGACCTATGATGGAAGAAGAAGTTCTGTTCGTCGCTGAAAGAGATTATGTTCTTCCTTTCCTCTCCGTTTCCACGCTCTTTTCATTTCTCACCATTTTGTTAGAGTTTGTTAGGAAATCTGTTATTCTTTTTGTATAAAACCACGTACAGATCGATTGATTCAATATACAGAAAAAATATTTCTTCAAACACTGAAATGGTATCAGAGCATTATCTCTGATTCTTCCTCTTCTTCATTCGACTTTTTCTCGATTGTTTCTTTTTTTTCGGAATCGCTTTTCTGCCCTTTCTATTTGTTTCTTCAATGGCAGAACAGGTTCCCGCGATTTTTCCTCCGGATGCTGCGATTGTACTCCTGATTTCGACAGCCCTTATTTTCTCTCAACCTCCGATAATGGCGGCATAACTCTTGTCACAAAGCCTTTATCCGGAGCTGCTGACTTTCCTTCCTGGCTTCGCTCCTTCAGAATGGCTCTTGAGGATCGGAACAAAATCGGCTTTGTCGATGGTTCTTTACCTAGGCCTGCTGAGGATGATCCTGTTTATCGCTTCTGGATTCGTAATAACGCCATTGTAGGGGGCTGGATTATGAACTCAGTTGCTGAACACATTGCCCAGAATTTGCTCTATGTCGAGACTGCTCGGGACATGTGGTTGTTCCTTGCAAAGAGCTACCAGCAGAGTAATGCTCCGCGGAAGTACCAGATTAAGCAGAAGTTGCGCGATCTGCGACAAGGCTCCATGGACGTTGCCTCATATTTCAGCGCCACCTTTGCTGTCTGGAAAGAACTCAAATCAATCAGAGCGAACCACTCCTGCACCTGCGGTAGGTGTACTTGCCTTTTATCCAAATGTTGGAACGATGAGGATGAAGGGGACTTTGTCATTGATTTCCTTTTTGGTCTCAATGACGAGTTTGAAAACGTTCGCAGCCACATTTTGGCCTTAGATCCCCCGCCTGATCTCCAAACAGCATATAATCTTGTCATTCAGCAAGAGCAACAACGTTTGATTCGTTCTTCCAAGCCCTCCGACGCTGTTGTTTTTCAAACATCTTCCTCTCCTGCACCAGAGGCTGTCTCATCTGTTTCAACTGGTAATTTTAAGGGTAAGCAACGTCCCCTTTGCATGCATTGTGGCCTCTACGGGCACACTGTGCAAAAATGCTACAAATTTCACGGATACCCGCCTGGCTACCGCGCTCCGAAGTCTGGTGGGTCATTTCCGTCTCGGTCTCCAGCTAGGCAATCTCAGTCGAAGCCTTCTTCCAACTTTGCCAATCTTGCTGCGGATTTTGTTCCTCTGTCTGGGACTGATGTGGACAAAATGTCCCTAACTCAAATCCAAGAGCTGTGTTCAAAGATCAACACTCGACTTAAGGTTTCTGGTGCAACAGTCACAGAACATGGTGCCTCTTCTTCTGATCCCGATGCTGGTACCCCCCTTTTCCTCTCTACTTTTGTTTGTAATACAGCCTCAGTTTTAGGGGATTTTCGGTTCTCTTGGATATTGGATGAAGATCGGCGACTTCGATTCTGGTTAAGAAATGAGCCAAATCCGAACCAGAATACAGAACGAGAAATTGCGGAAATTGAGAATGCACAGAGATTACGTGTTCAGATCGCCGGTGTAGCGATCCTACGTCACGACCGAAGCTTTATGGCCTCGATGAATCCACTAGATGATCAGAACTTACAGAATTACAATCCTGGTTCTTGACGGAAACCAGAGCAAGAAAGAAGACGATGAACAGTAACTCTATTTGGTACTCCTACCCAAATCACCAAAAAAAAAACCCCTTTTAAACCCTCAATTCCGGTTTACGCTTGATGGGTTATTGAACCGGGTTATCCTCTCTCAACCATCTCGAACCGTTCTTGAGACGTTGAAAGACTCTGTCTGATTTGGAAGCTCCCCTGTTTATCTTCTTTTCCTTTAGTATTTCATCTCTCGAACTGTAGATCAACAAATCTCCACCTCAGTTCAAGCATGAATACTCCACCTTAAGAGTTCCTTCCATCATCTAGTGTTTTCTCTTTGCTGTCTTATGCTTCAGACAGCCCAAGCAAGCTAAGTGCTTGCCTGAACTTGGTTGTGGGTACAACCTTAGTGAATATATCCGCCGGATTATGTTCTGTTGAAATCTTCTTGACCTTCAGCACTCCTTGATTGATCAGATCTCGGATAAAGTGAAGTCTGACATCTATGTGTTTGGTTCTTTCGTGAAAAACGCTGTTCTTTGCCAAGCATATGGCACTTTGCGAATCACACCATACTTTGACAGTTTCTTGAGCAAAACCAAGCTCTTCAACGATTCCTTTTAACCAAATACCTTCTTTGACTGCTTCTGTCAATGACATGTATTCAGCCTCCGTTGTTGATAACGCGACGACATGTTGCAGAGTTGATTTCCAGCTAATGGTGTTACCTCCTGCAGTGAAGACGTATCCAGATATGGACCTGCGCTTATCTGGATCTGATGCAAAGTCAGCATCACAGTATCCCTGCACACAGAACTCAGCATTCCTTCTGTACACTAGTTTGACTTCAGAGGTTCCCTTCAGATATCTTAAGATCCACTTGACAGCTTGCCAGTGTTCTTTACCAGGTCGACTCATGAACCTACTGACCAAACCGATTCCATATGCTAGGTCAGGCCTTGATCCTACCATAGCATACATTATTGACCCTACTGCATTAGAGTAAGGTACACCTTCCATTTCTGAGCTACATTCAGTTTCTGTTACTGCTTGCAACTTGAAATGACCTCCGATGGGTGTTGCCACGGACTTGGAATCTCCCATTCCAAATGTGCTCAAGACCCTTTTTAAGTAACCTGTCTGGGAGAGAGTTAGAATACCTCTAGCTCGGTCTCTGACAATGTCCATTCCTAGTATCTTTGTTGCACGTCCTAGATCTTTCATCTCGAATTCAGAACTCAATAGGCTTTTCAGCTTGTCTATCTCACTCGTGTCTTTAGCAGCTATCAACATATCGTCAACGTACAAAAGTAGGTACACATATGATCCATCTTCCTTCTTTCGGAAGTAGACACATGAGTCATACTTACTCCTGCTATATCTCAGACTTATCATGAAGCTGTCGAATCTCTTGTTCCATTGGCGTGGTGATTGTTTCAAGCCATACAGGGATTTCTTTAAGAGACAGACTTTTTCTGTTCTGCCTTTTACCTCAAATCCCTCGGGTTGGGACATGCAGATTCTTTCCTCTAGATTCCCATGGAGAAAGGTCGTCTTGACATCTAGTTGCTCCAACTCCAAATCTGAACAGACCACAAGTGAAAGTAAAAGTCTGATAGAAACGTGCTTGACTACAGGAGCGAATATCTCCTGATAGTCTACCCCTTCTACCTGTGAATATCCCTTCGCTACTAGTCTAGCCTTGTGTCTTGGTTTTTCTACTCCTGGTATGCCCTGTTTTTTCTTGAAGATCCATTTACAGCCAATAATCCTTTGTTTCACTGGTCTGTCGATCAGTTCCCATGTCTCATTTTTCACTAATGAGTTCATCTCTTCTTG